AATAAATTCGTGATATAAATCGAAAATCGTCAAGTAAATTCGTAATATATAAATTCGTGAAAAAAAAAGCGCTTTCGACAAAATACTAAAACAGAGATCTATCGACAAAGACAACTCACTTCTGTCTAGCTTAATAGTATGAAATTGCAGCAGCTGATAGGGTGAATTTCGGAAGAGATCACATTTGGTAAGAATGCTCTTTCTGGTTATTTCAGTTTCCGTTTTTAAAAGCGCTATATGTTGAGCCAGCTAAGCTAGATTTGGCATGTGACATTTTTAGCGGCAATCATGGGTCGAGTTTCTAGCGTTGCCATTCGGGGAGTTGTAATGAGGCNGTGTAGGTAACTGAATAAAAACTGTATATATATATATATATATATAGTTTAAAATGTGTAAAAATTTGTGTATATTGCAACTCAGAAAATGTTCGGTTACTAGTAGATAAAATAATAAATAATTATAAAAATTATTTTTAACCGGAATTAATGAAGATTAACGAATTTTATAATTGTGTACAAAAATCTTTTGATTCGTTTAAATATTTCTTCATATCTAGCGAAATGTGCAAAAATTGAAATCAACATTAACCCTTTCGCGCCGACTGTCACAAATACGTGACAGCATAAAACCGTATCAATCAGGGTAAAAAGATAAAACTGGTAATCAAAGTATTTCTTTAGCAGTTTATTTGTGGGCGGAGTTATAATTGTTTGATTTATTTAATCCACCATTACTTTGTTCAAAATAAAACTATTTAGTTATACTTTGAGTTATCATTGATTACACATATGATTAAACTAACAATAATTAAAGTAAAGGCAAAGTAAAGCAGTCAAATTAGCAACGACTACATTTAAATTACCGTTTTTTATTTAATTACAACTTGATTCTGATTTTGTACGAATGCTTTTAAGAATCACCCGTCCCCAAGGGGTTAAGGGATACAAACTTTCGATTACCTTCCCACCTAAATTGTTAAGACCATATTTTCCAAATTACGAATCTGAATTTTTAGGTCAGAATTCCAAATCCTCTGAAATTAGGAATGTTTATTCAAAAAAGTATGTTTCTGTCTGATTTCTCAATTTATTATATAATTAAAATATATACTGTATTAATTAATTAACACAATAAAGATTTGACCCTTGAACAGATTAAGATTGAGCTTCCTTACGTAAACATCTGATTTTTTATGATAAGTTTTTCAGGTTGTTCATTTTAGTTAAATATATAAAAAGACATTTTATATTAACACGTTTTCACCGGGTGTTGCGCCTGAAAGCGGGACGGAAAAGAGAAAATACTGGTAGAAGAACTATTTCAATGTTAGATAATATTCGGGAGGAGTTAATCGATTCTCAACAATAACAATTCACAGTAAGGAAATTTATCACGGCGACGATGCAATTCAATATAAAAGTTGCATCCGTTAAAAACAATTGGTAGTTATGGATTTTTATTATTCCCGGAAAAAAACTAAAAAATGAAATTTATTTGTTACCAGTTTTTGCTCCGGTGCGGCACCCGATGAGACAATCTAGCGTCACCCTCCGGTGGGTCATCCCAGCGTAAACGTGTTTGCATTGAAATCTTTTAAGTGCTTAGAGACTGAAAGATTCTTAATCCTGTTCTACCTACTGATAAACGGGAATTGTTTATCTCTGAAGGTTCAAAAGAAAAATTTTGAAAATGGGAGAAATATGCATTTAAGCACTGTAAATTAAGTATAAATTATGTTTACTATTTTCTGAAACATAATTCACCTAAACTTAAAGGCTATAATTATTTGTAGTAGTAAAAGGCAAGCTATGCTGAGAGAAGTGAGGAATTGATGGTCTCATGATTTCGGATAACTGGCGGTATTTCTTTGATAGAATACAGGTTTACTTTTCAATTAGAAAATAGTTCAGTTTAAGTTGCAAATTCGATATATCTTTGGTGTCTTATAAATTCATTTTAACTTGTGCTACGACCATTAAATTTCTTTTTTTTCTTTTTTAAGCATGATGCTCTAAACCAATAAGTATAGGTAAAGATCATAGGAAAGAATCATGGGGAAAAAAATTCGATTTTATCTAGCCTTCGCCCTCTTGCGAATATCTGAAATTTTTGATTCCGTGTATAGTGCTAAGAAAAGAGAATTTTTTAAAAAAAATCTGTAGAAATCCATAGTAATGATTGTGGAACTACGATCGAAATCACCACTTAGATTTTTTTTATAAAATCAGCGCAAAATCGAAATGACGTGGTTGATTCTATAATAGGTACTCACGAATTAGTTCTAACTTAAAAATATCGGGATTTTAAAAATTATTTAGAGATTTATGAACATAATTACCAGAAAATTTATATGAGTTAACGAGGAAATCAGCGCAAATCATATGCATGCGTCAAAAAGTTGTTATTCAATGAGCGATTCGAAATTTACCAATGCAATAATGTATCAGTGTATTGTGAAAGTTAAAAGATAAATAAAGTATAAAGAATCTTATAACAGTATTTTCTGAAAACCTATATGAATTTACGGTGAAATCGGTAAAAAAATTCAGCGAGCATTGTCAAAAATCAATAGGTGATTACTCTTGTGCGTGAATGGAGAGTAATAATAGCAATAGTAATAAAATATGAGGATTTTAAAAATTACTCTGAAATCTAATGTCATAGCCACAAAAAAAGGGCGTCGACACTGGTATATCAATGCGTAAGTTTAGCCTGGATTCATTACTAAAGCTTAAATGAAAAGACATACTTAACGTCCTAACTAGGATTTGAGCCCCGGACCTCTCTGGTAGAAGGCGGACAGCCTTACTAATACAAAATTAATTGGAACAAAATTAAACTTAAATGAATGAATATGGGCAAAAATTAGTTAACACATATTCCCCTTGGGTATAGTATGTCCCATTAAAGTTTCAGTTCATTTACTGTTAAGTTAACAGAAATTTTCAGTTAATGCCCATTGGTGGTGTAACGGTTAGGCTGTCCACTTTTTGTCAGAGAAGCCGAGGTTTGAAATCTCAACTGGGACGTTCAAACTTCATTTTCCAACCTTTTTTCTGAAAAGATTGACAACTATTTAAGATGTTTCATTCAATTTATAAATTATTCCTTTTCAATTTAAATAAAATTAAGAAATAAATTATTTAATAATTAATAAATATTTATTTATTTCCTGTTTTTTAATTAAAATCAATAGATTATTTTTAAAATTGCAAATTTTTAAATTAAATTTTGCATTATATATATTTTCTTGTATTTCAATATATTTTTAATAATGATTTTGTATATTAACACGTTCACGCCGGAGTGACCCAACGGTGGGTCACGCTAGATTTTCTCATCTTGGCAGCGCACCAGAGTAAAAATGATAACAATAAATTTCATTTTTAAGTTTTTTTCCGGGAATAATAAAAATCCATAACTACCAATTGTTTTTAACGAATGCAATTTTTATATTGAATTGCTTCTTCGCCGTGTTAAAATTCCTTACAGTGAATTGTTATTGTTGAGAATAGATAAACTCCTCCCTAATATTATCTAATATTGAAATAGTTCTTCTACCAGTATTTTCACTTTTCCAGGCGTGAACGTGTTAATATATACAAAATTATTAATCTAAATTTAAAATTACAAAATTTTAATTAATTTTTTTTTAATAATCCATTTATTTTAGTTAAAAAATTAAAAATAAAAATACGTATATTTTTTTATTTAAAAAATCAATTTAAAAAAAAAAAAACTTTTGTCCATTATTTAAGATTTGTAAACATTATCTTGCTTATTTACGCTTTCTTAATATTTCTATCTAATTTAAGCTTAATTTTGTTTTAATAAGACTTTTGCAGATGCATTCTTCCCTTGTTAGGCTTGAAATAGGAGAATTATAGGAAATAAGATGACATAATGGAAATTGAATACGAAATAAGGTAACTCATTACTTATGTAACTAATGATTAAACTTCCATACACTAGGACTAAATCTTAAAGGTTTCTAACCTAAACAACATTGAATATGCAAATTAGTTTGTGATAACTATTTTTTAAGTTATAATATCAAGCACAAAGACGTGATTTATCAGAATAAACAAACTTTTTTTCTACGATATTTTAAGTTACAATATTAAACCCAAAGTTGGTTTTCTCAGAATAAACATAATTTTTCAAGGGATTTGGATTATTGACCCTCAAAATATGAAGAGTAGCAGCAATCTGGAAAATATAATTCCACTAGATATCAATCGGATGGAAGTTTCGATCTTCATAATGTTTGTTAATTTCACGTTTTGCGTATTTCACGATACATTTGGAACTAATAAATAAAATAAAAATATATTTGCACGCAAATGCTAGACTTGTTTATCAATGACATTATTTAATTTATTAATAATCAATAATATTTATTAAAATTTTTAATTTACTAGTAGTCAAATGTTTGTTTAACTACAGTTCAAATATTTACCCAATAAAACTAAACTACCTAATTTTGATTAGGCAGTTTAAAAAATTTAAAAAGAATGGGTCAAATAGTTCTTGAAAATTAAAAATACGAATTTTTAGTTGGAGAAAAACGTAAAAAGGGGAATTAATATTATGGAGTTCAAACTCTCTATCACTCTCCTACCTACAATATGGGGACCATATCTTCTAGATTGCGACTACTCAATGGTCTGAAATCCAAATGTGTCAACAAAAAATATATTATTCCAAGAGAATACGATTTTGCGCCGAATTTTGTAACTTAAAACTTTGTACCTGAAAAAAAATTATTGTTGTTTTTGACTATATGCTCTCGATCCATTAAGATTTCGTAACAATACGTGAAAATTCAATCACTGAATCAAAAGTTATTTAGAAGTTCTCTTTCTCACCCTCTCTTTATCACTGTTCCTTTTTCTGACACTATAGAACAGGGGTTGAAATTAATACTATAGTCCATAACGTGCATACCGAATGGAATAAATTGTTCAATTGTTACTTAAGTATTTTAACTAATAACTTACGTTTACATTCATCTTTGTTTGTTTCTCGAGACTTTCCCACCTTTAGTTTGTACCCAGGTTTACATTCACAGAAGAAATCAGTATCTTTTGTTACACATTTCGATGATGGAGATTTGCATTCATGGCCTTTACAAACGTAGTCAGCAGCTGTAATAACATAATTTTTTATTATATTTTCTACTATCTGGATGTCTCTTTATGAATAAATCTCTTAATGTCTAAATCTTTTATGAACAGATTTCCAGGATGTCCATGTTAAAACTTTAAGATACGTCTTAAATCCTTTACTAATAAGGAAAATTCAAATAGGATTTACCAAGTTTAACGTTTGCTTTTCTTAATGATCAGCAGTACGTGCCATCTCCTTCTCAGCATAATGCCACGTGTCACTCTATAACGTGACAATGTGCCATATCTTCTTTAGTTAATTAAATACAGGACGTTCTACAAATTAGATTGATAATTTCCAAAAAATTATAACTAGAAAACTGCTAAAATTTGAGGAAAGAAATATTACATCTCTCTTATCTATGTGTCCATTGTTTATTCTCCCGGAATAAAAAGTTTTAGTTTAAAAAAAACCTGATGGATAGACTTTTCTACCATAATTTCCGTTGCATTTTGATGCGTGTGTTAAATTCTATTTATGCAATATGAGACTTATAGAAGAATACTGATCCAATAGGGAAATCGAGTATGTGACACTTCCTTTTGCTTGAATCAAGGCTCTCTTCTCGTCAGGGGCTCTTTTTCGTAACAAGGGGATTTTTTCTCCTGTATGCAAGGCAATTTTATTTTTGTATAGAAAGTTGGAACAGCTGGCCATGGTTTTAGAGTCAAAAAGCCCAAAATCTTTTTGCAAAGGAAGTGTTCCTAAACTGCGCCAAATGATAAAATTTTTTGTTTTCTTTGCAATTTCCAGAAATTTTAATTTTAAGCATACATTAATTCATTTAATTTTTAGCATACATTAATTAATTTAATTTTTAGCATACAATTTTAAGCATTCACACTACGAGTTCTTTATTGTAAAGCAAAAGCGAATACGTTATATGCATCATTGTATGCCAGAGGGGCTTCAGTCCTGCTACCTACTTCATAAGAAAACTAAAAGGTGAAAACCATTTTTCCTATCAATACCAACAATCTGGAGAAAAAAAGCATCGTGTTTAAGATCTAGACCAGAGGTGTCAAACTCAATTTTGTAGGGGGTCAAATATTAAATTTAAAATGTGTAGGCGGGCCAGATTCAAATAAAAAAAATTTACTGAAAAATATTATAACATTTTATTTATCTAATTATATGGTATATAATGCAGGGTGTTCCAAAATTATCTTTACATCACCTGGCTTGACATTGATTACAGACTGGAAGGGCTTAGGGCCACCAATGGTGCGCATGTTTGAAGTTGAGAATACTGATCCAAGTTTTTTGGTTCACTGTGCCAAATGATTTTAAATGAGGGAAATGATCCAAAGTTTGATTTTTTTCCTGATTTTCTCACAGCCTCAACTTTGTTTCAAAGGCTTGAATACATAAATACATTTGAGTGACAATCAGATTTCTACCCTGTAAATTTACATTCAGACCAGTCAAGTGTTAATTCATATCTACGAAAAGACACAATCAATCCACCAGTCATTGTCATAATCAATTGGGTTGCCTTTTTCTTACATGAAGGCTTGAATAGGGTCACGTAATGCAAAAAATCTTTCTAAAACAACTCCTCGACTGAGCCAACGAACTTCAGGGAAATAAGGGTCATCAAAAAAATTTTCGTCCAAATCTTGTAAAAACTGCCTGAATTGTTGGTGATTTAGTCCTCTGCTCTTTATAAACTTTACTATTTTAATTATAGGTTGCATGACACGGTCCATTATTAAATGCTTGGATGCCAATGATTCCTGATGAATTATACAGGGAAATCCCAAAAAATTCCCTGATGTTTTCTGTTTTAATTTAGTTACAACGCCCGAATGATAGCCAGCCATGGCAGGAGCGCCATCGTTGTGCTGCTAAGTATATTCCAGTCGAAGATTCCGCTTGTTGCTAAGAAATGTCGTTATTGTCTATCTCTCTCGCTTGTCTAGGCACGCGCTGCCCTTGAAATTACTTATAAATGTAGTGCGCACATTTTAAAACTTCCGGAAAGGAATCGAGTGAAGTCTAAAAGCTCTAAAAACAAGATTCTTCTTTCTGTGACATATCGCGATCGCGGGCCGTATTGATACGAACCGGGGGCCGGATACGGCCCGCAGGCCGAATCTTTGACATGACTGATCTAGACAGTAGATCGTAGCAATGGGCAGATGGTTCCCGTAGAAGTGAAATTGAACTTTTTTTTTCTATGTTATACTTTGACTTCAAAAAGATATTTTTAAATTTTAGATGATTCTGCAGTAATTGAAGAAGCTATGGTTACATTATTGTCCTAGACAGACTGGCAGTGGAGTATTTATTGAAACACCTTGGGAGAACTACACTCTTCATCAACGAAACCTCGATTTTTGATCCGTCTTTCGAAGCGAACTAATTGCAATTGACAGGGGACTAAAGAAAATCTTGAGTGAAGGGCACCTTGGAAATACTTGGATACTATCTGACAGCCGTAGTTCAATTCAACACCTCAAAAATTGGGCCCTCATTGGAGATAAAACCAGTTTTTCGATCTTACAAAAAGTAAAGCTCATTTCCCAACAGCATGAGGTCCACTTTCAATGGATCCCGTCCCACGTCGATATCCACGGCAACGAGTTGGCTGACACTCTTGCAAAGAAGGGACTAGACCATCCAGTCCCTTCCACCTCAGAGCTTACATACCTTGAACTTTTCGCAAGGCAAAAGGCCCAGAACTAACAAATGTGACTGCTTCCACCTACTCACTACTGGTATAAAGCAAAAAGACCAGGACTCTCTCTATCTCTTCCTGGTGACAGGCAAACCAACACTTGCTTATCCCGACTGGCCAGTGGACACCTGAAAAGTCTCACATTTTCTGCTAATCAAAAGATCTTTCCTCTTTGCCCTAAATGCCAACAAAACCAGGCATCACCTGATCACATCTTGAACTGTTTAGGGCTGGACTGGAACGACATTCATTCCTCTCCCATTCTGGTTTCGGATTTTCTTAATGTCAACGGATTTATTGATCTGGTCTGACCCCGTCAGACCAGATGGGAATTAGCAACAACAGCAACATTATTGTCCAAAACGTCCTGATTAATGAAAGTTTGTACGGGGCCTCATTGGTTTGAAGTCATCAGCATCTTACTGGGATTTTTTTGATAGTTGTAAAATAGCTTTAAATAAACATGTTTCATAAGAAAAGGAATACGGAGATAGAAGCATTCATGAGACTTCTTAAATTCGTGAGATTTCTTTCTTCATGGAAATTTTATTACTATTACTATATTTTGTATTACTATTATATTACTATTTTGTATTACTATATTTTGTATTATGTTTGTATCACTATATTTTGTATTATTTTTGTATTACTATATTTTGCTTTGGCTATATTAATACAATATTAGAAAGCACTCCTTTTTTCAGATATAAATGAGTGAGCTGATGACGAGATTATATCTTATCATTATTTTGTTTTCCGGCGTTTAATAATATACTTTTAATAATATTCTAATATTTTTTAATAATTCTTTTTCAAATATTTTTTTAAAATATCTCATTTTAATAATTTTTCTTTTGCTCCTTTCATTGATATTTATCATATTATTTTCCATGTTTTCACTTTCATGAGAGTTCTATAAACTTGCAGCTTCTGCGTAGCAATTAGTATGCATTTTTTCTCTTTTATATACTCCAAGCCAAGGCAGTTCATTACTTAAATGTCGCTGTACTTCCGAATCCTTTTATTTTTTAATCTTACTGTAAAATATCCAATAAGCAAAATATTATTTCTGTTTCTTTATTTTATGTTATTTGTTGCCATCTCTAATGACTTAATATTCAAAGGTTCAAGAAGAAATAAAGGGTTAAAAGCAAAAAGAGGGTTGATATAAAAGGGCAGAAATTTTTGAAAGAAAACTGTTATACATTTAAGGTTATTTACTCTTATTAATTCAGCAGCTTCAGCAGTAGTGCAGAGCTATATTTTCAATTTAAAAATTCTCCAAAATGAACGAAGGAAAGAGCTGCGTTTTATTAACAAAGATCTGTCATCTATGCTTTTTATCCACATTTTTTAATCGTTTTCCCTGATTTACTTCAGTATTTTATGAGTTTGTATTAAAATAAAATTCTTAAAACTTCTGTGTCTCCAAGAAAAAAGTTTATAACAATTTTTATACACATTATCGTCTGAAAAATATGCAAAAACTGTAGTTGATATGTCCAATAAAGTGTTTTTTTCCTGCACCGGCAGTGACGTCATACTTTGTTTTTCGTATTTTTCTTGTAAACTATGAATCGCACAGGAACGCTTCTTTAGGTAGTTTTT